ACACATGCTGGAATTAAGAAACTAAGAAAACTAAGAAAAAACTAGAAAACTAAGAAACTAAGAAAACTAAGAAACTAAGAAAACTAAGAAATTAAGAAAACTAATTAAGAAACTAAGAAAACTAAGAAACAAAGAAAACTAATTAAGAAACTAAGAAAACTAAGAAACAAAGAAAACTAATTAAGAAACTAAGAAAACTAAGAAAGAACTAGAAAACTAAGAAACTAAGAAAACTAATTAAGAAACTATAAAAATTAAGTAAGAACTAGGCCTAGAAAACTAAGAAACTAAGAAAACCCTTCACGTTGACACACGTGTACTGAAGTGCCATGTAGAAAAGCAACCAGTGGTAGATGACTGTCTATACAGGTCCTCATGGCTGTGAGGGTCAGTGAAGGTCGAGCTTTATACTATTGCTAATAGCATGCCTGGCTGTTAGGCAGAGGGCGGTGAGTCACCCACACGCTGGATATGTTCTTGGTGACGGTAAAGCTGGGTTAACACTATCAACGTTTAGTTGAAAAGTCGACGAGTTGATCAACTTTTCAACGTTCTAACTACCTTTCTATCAGATGTTCAAACCATTTACATTATCGACCGCGAGTCGGCAAATCATTTCAACATTTCGCCCGCAGTGTGCCTGCATGCGGGGCGACGTGGATACGCATTTTTGCATGTATTAATGCGCGCCAGGTGTAGCCCGTATAACGCCGATAGCAAAAACGCGCGCGCAAATAATCCCCCACTGGGACCACCTCTTGATTGCTATGATCTGAGTGGCTGCATGGGCAAAGAGTTGAATCAACTCACTGACTAGTCCAAGTCAACTCTGATTAATGCCCACACCGACGATTTTGGTGGATTTGGTGTGGGTTAACACACTACCCCACACCAAATCCACAAAAATCGTCGGCGTGGGCATTGGTCAGAGGAAACTCGGACTACTTACTGACCAAAGGTTGATAACATAGAACATAACTTGACGGTAGCTTTGGTGATGTGCTACCGTAGCCACTCAACTCACTCATGCACGTCTCAACCGTATATATAGTTCCTCATTCAGTTATCTAACTTGTGTGATATTAATTGGTATCCTCTCTACAGCCACAGCGTCCTCTCCCACCCTCCCCACTATAACCTTGTCGCTGTCCGTAGCTCTACCCGCGTAACCCTTTCGTTCTTGCTACAGGAAGCTAACGGGTTAATGCTTATAAAGCGGGAGTGACAGCTATAAGTGGTCGACAAGGCGTCGTCCTCATACGTCGATCATTATACAAACACAGCGTGAAGCACATTGTTGAACGTCGCCTGCGCGTTGCTACGGACGCCGCACGTTGTTATCGGCTGCTAGACCGCTACGGAGCGGGTCGCCCCCCCACCCGAAAAAAAGCGCTTCGCAAACGAAAACGAAAGTTTAATTCGCAACTTTTCCGCCGCCGCCACCGCCGCCGCCGCCGCCGCCGCCGCCGCCGCCGCCGAGATTTTATATTATACAATCAACTTCATTATTATATTAATCAATTAATTAGTAATTATCTGTTATGTTTGCGGCGACAAATTCAGTCAGGTTGAGTATTATAATTCTGCATGCTGGGATTTTTTTTCTATGTATCGTATCATGTCGCGTGTGTGAGAGCATCTTTGCAATGCTGCATCAACGGACAGCTGTCCTATCTATGCGGCTGTAGCGGCCTGCAGTGACGCGATGATACAAGTGAGGGGTCTTACGTTCTACTACGTCACACCCCATCGATATTTACGCTCACACGGACCGGTGTCGTTAGACTGCCGGACTCCAGCGCGTCGATTTCTACGCTCACAAGGCTCTCTCCCCATCGATATTCTACGTCGAAATGCATCGCATATCCTATTGTCACACCATCGTATTTACGCCCTCACGGCCATCGTGTCTACGCTCCACGACCATACGATTATTACGTCACGCCAACTACTGCCCACGTCACGTCCCTTCGTGTGATACGCTCACATCCTCCAGTGATACGTTAATTTTCGCTTGTGTAGACGTCACGTCCTTCGTGTAACCCAGTCACGAGCTGAAGTGTACTAATACATTCACATTATATTCGCTCACGTAATAGCGCAATGAAACTCAATCAGTAACTTGTGTGCACGTAGTTGACAGAGAAGAATCGCGGTAAAATGGTCAAGAAAGATTGAAACAGATGAAATCGAGTTTGAGACGGACTATCTTCGTCTACTGCATAAAGCACATAACATCACATACCAATGTAATACGTCTTTGCCTAAACTTACAACGCTCGTAGGGCGCTAACACGTAGATTTTTCACAACAAGCTTCAGTCGACGCTGCGCTCGCGCCCGCAACGTGTGCGTCAGTTTGAGGTGAATGAAGATTTCGCGTCATGAATCATCGTTTCTCCGAAGCGTCTCACGTCCATGCCTTAATTACTTCTACGTCATCTTCCTAACGTCGACTCGCAGCGTAAATAAAAGGAACAACATCATTAGGACAGATCCGCTCGATACAGCACTACGTACAAGCTGACTGCACAGCGCGCCTTGGACAGACACACACAACTGCGTACCCGGGACGTATACACACGCTACCAGTTGAAACAAATCTCACGTCGCCACACCCCTCCGCTCGGAGCTTACGTTGTCTCATAGAATCCAGTCCATGTTTTCTAATCACTACGGGTTCTTTTTTCTCCGGCCCTCCCTCACCGCTTCTATAATTTGACCATCCTGTCGGTCTGTTGCAAACCTCCCCCACACGCCCCGTACCTCTAATACCTCCCCCCCCGCTTCCCGCAGTACACTCCTTTCCCCGACATCCTTTCCCTCGCTCGTATCTCTATCTTCTCTCATTCACTGCTATGCTACAACAATAAAATGTAGCCCTTCGCTGGCCTCGCCTCGGCTGGTCCGTATTCGTTGTCTGCTTACTCGTCCTCTGGTCAGCCGTAGTGTCTGGCTTAGAGTAGACCCATGCGTCCCACCGCTCTCCGGCCATCAGAGATCCTGCAATAATGCATCCCGCGCAACCCTCCCCGCAGTGTCCGTCTGCGACAGACCACTCCCCGCCGACCACACACAAGCACGCACAGACCAGTCCCTACACAGCTCCCCTCCGCTCCCACCGCGTACACGACCTTCTGACACACACCACGCCGCACGTTCCATCCCCCCCACGTTGTCATACCCTCATGCACTCACCGACGCCACCCACCACCCCCTCACCATCACCCCCCCCGACACGGATCAACACACTACATACACCCACACACACCACACACAGCTAACACAACACACACATCCGCTAACCCGGCTCCTATCCCTCCCTCTCTACATCGCGCCACTCGCCGGCCCCACCCACCCCAACCCCCCCCCTCAACAAGGCAAAGACTAATAACTTACTCATTGCTAAAATCATTATCTGTTTTGGTGTTTTTTTATTGACACAAATACGGCATAGTTGTGTGCGCGATAAGCTTTAGATTCAATGAAGCTGTAGCCAAACAGCAACGGTACCCGCAAGCCCCAGACCAGACGCACCAAGTCATACCTGAGGCCCGCCTGCCCACCGACCCAAACGCCGGTCTCACTCGCCCTCTCCCAGGAGTCACTAAGACACACACACGAGAACGTACGCGCCTGGTACGGGTCGGTATGCCGGCACGTACTCTGGTACTACTCTAATCACGCCTGCGGACCGTAAAACCTCGCCTACTCCACTCAACGACTCTAGGGAGATCGGCCTAACGCTTATCTCCATAAGCCTCACCCTAACCCTAACCATATCAGATAGTTCGGCCAGGGTACGTTCCCGGTATACTCGAATCGTTAAGCCCAGGTAGCGTTTCCGGCAAGTACCCCTGGGGGACATAGACCCTATGAGCCAACAGTTGGTCATGATCGATGGATCGGGGTCATCTTTAATAGCAACGCAAAAGTGGCGATACGACCGAATACCTTGAAAAGGGACCTATAGACGCACCGGTCCGATAGCCCGAAGATATTCGATAAATAACTAGTAAAATACTTTTACT